AATTAAAGTTTTATTTCAGAGCCCACACCTGATGAGCATGTTGCCAATTTTGGTGTTGGTACTTCAACATTATGCTGTGAGACAGAAGGGTAGATTTTGGCACATTGCACTTTACCTGTACTAACATTTAGGATCAGTCATGGTCCTGTTACATATCTATGCCAATTACTAAAATATTTGTTCTAATTATAATATCTAGAACAGTATGAATATGCTCTACTTCATCAAAATAGTATGCTCGCATGTACTCGGTTTCACAAAACACTGTATTTACATTATTGAATTTTAACAAGACTAGCTCTGAGTGATGAAACTTTCCAGTTAGGGACACTGATTTGAATCACTGCCCAAGATGACAGCCAAATAGGCAGCTGCTTGTGGGTTGATACCAAAAGAGCCACCTTCTCTGAATCTAGTCTCTAGAGATGAACATTTTGTATCTGTCTAGGTTTATATATGATATTTTCCATCACATCTCTACTATTTGCACCAGCCTAACATACAGTTTTAGCATACAGGACAAAGATAAAAAAAAGATGTGGGCATGAGTTTTCACACATTGCTCCACTCTTCTTGGGTGTCTGGGTAAATATCAATTTTGATATCTGACACAGAATTATCTCAAACCCTGTTCAGAATCTGGGTAGGTAGAGTGAAACAATCATTAATTCCTATAGATAAAGTACAATTTACCACATAAAGCCTCTGTCCAGGATTCAGTCTTAATTCAAATACTTCCCTGAAGGTGACAGCTCATTTGCAAATGGTTTACACTGATATCAAATAGAAAGTAGGAACATATTAGAATCACGGAAGTGGCTAAGAACTCTCCTATTAATGTCCTAGAACCTTTACAATTTATACCACTGAAGATTTCAAGCCAAAATTTCGGGACTGGAATCATCTAAGGCAAAATGGCCAGAGGACTATACACAGGCATGTAGTATTACACGTCTATGAGAGGTTCTCAGAGTTTTCACTTTCATTTAGTCTTCATCTGAGTTGGCTTTCACTGATGTCTCCAGCTGTCTTCAAGGTGATGTAGATCTAATTCATATGCAGTAAGTGTCTAGTGCAATCATAACTATCATTTGACAGAAAACCACAGACAAAAAAAGGACATTCCTAATACAAGTAGGTATATACATGCACAGTAGTCAAACTGCCTCTGTACAATACTTTAAACCATCAACATCCTGAGTCTTTGTGGCACTTAAACCATGTGGCAAAATGCAGAACGCCATCTGAGAGACCACTATCCTGATCAGCTATTGAAAGTGATACATAAATTAACAGGATAATCTAACAGTATTTGGAAGGTGTCTTCCAAAGCAGCAGTAAAAATGACAAATATTTACACTTCAGTCTGAGGCTATTTAAAATAGAGCAGCTTAATTAAGAATATGAAATGAATTGCTTGTGACGGTGCAAATTAAAATTCTGAGCTAATTCTGGATCTTCTTTCATTCCTGTCCTACTGAGTTGAGGGAGTGAAGGTGAAGGAAGGAAATGGCCCTCCTGGAGTACTTGATTAAATTTCAAGATTCCAGGACTTTCCTCTCCCTGGGAAGTTTTACACGAGAGCCAACATTCCACAATTATTCAGTGACACAAATATTCAAGAGCAGGAACATATTTTTCTTTAGCTTGCACTTATAAAAGGCACTGATCCATTTCAATCATAGTATACTTAGCAGGGAAAAGGCTAACCATTGGCTTCTCCTACTTTAACTTCATAGAGCGTAAATACTTAATTCCACTACTGAAGCAGCAAATGCTGCCTATTCCTTTAAATGTATTTATGGCATAATGGCATAATAAACCATCTCCATGTAAAAAAACACCAAGGATTTACCATTTGAAAAGATTCTTGGTTTAGCCCTCCAAAAATAATAGATTATTTGTAACAGTCTACATGACAAAATATCAAGGAGTCATAATTCCCCCTCACTATGCACCCTTTCATTATGAATAAGAACTTAAAAATGTAAGTGCAGCAGAAAAGCTCCAGTGTTTCTGACATCACAGTACCCCATTCCCTTTCCACCTGAAGCCATCCTAGAGCACATCCTATGAACCAATAGGTTGCTCTCTATTTTTACAAAAGCCCTTTGTTCATCTTCTTCTTTCAATTAAGTCCTGGCTCACAACTGTGTTTCCTCCTGTTCCAAGGAATGTGGAGGGACATGGCAAGATGCTGGAAGAGATGCCAGCTTCTGAAGCTTAGGGTGATGCAGAGGTTTTGGCCTGTGGAAAGAACGTCGGCTTTGTACACGTCTGGCTGCAGCAGACCTGTAGTTCCCTTCTATGTCAAGCAACATTTTCTTCTCTTGGGGCTCCTTTATGTAAGAGTCTTCCAGCCCTTCAAACATAAGCAGAGTATTTTCTTCTTGTGAATTCTCTGACTTGAAGCTAACTTCAGAACAATAACCTGAGTTTACTGTCTCTTTGTTATTCATATCTGTACCCGATTCCCAGAAGAGATCAGGTACATTTGGGTCACATGAAGCAATGTACTCAGAGACAGCAGAAAGAGATATATTCCCTCTGTTTTCCAATGAAGAATAGTTTTGTGTCCAAGGCATTTGAAGACAAGAGGGGAAGAAGTGGAGAGGATTCACTGAAACATTTCCATTTTGGTTTAGTTGATCATCTGAAGAGGAGTATTCTGTCATTTCAACATCATGGTCCATATCACCTAGAGAGCACAATTAAATAGAAACATTTGTTCTCGATTTGTGCACACTTTATCTGTTAGTATGCTGGCTACTGGGCTTTGCTTTTGGCTATTTTTATGGAAATCTTATGAAAGTGAGTGGTTTCAGATTTTTTTTTTCCTGAAGAACTCTACTCTGTATCCAATTCTGTCTTGGACAACTTGAAGTGAGTTAATTAAACTTCTTATCCTTGCTGAATGTCAGGCAAAACTTAGCTCAGTGTTTGGGGTGAACAACTGCCTGTTTCAGATAGGAGACTGAGCTGTCATCTGGCCACTAAGGTGTATTTTCATCTTGAAACAATCCTGATGCTCAGCAAGGAAATATTTCCGAAATTTTTGGAACAAATTGTACTCTTTCAATCAAATAGCAGAGGGTTTGACTTCAGGGAGTCAATCTCTTATTGACCAGAACCTATAATCAGTTTCCTGTATACATTGGGTATGTAGAGAATATTTCCACTCTTGGCTTCCAGTTTCCATTGTTATTTAAAACATTTTAATTTAAATTTTAGTATCATTCTCTTATTGGGAGAATTTTGTTAAGGAGATCATTCAGAGGACTGTTTCAGACAGTAATGAAGGTGTATGCTTAGTAGGTTGGGAAATCTAACTTTGCAAAACACTTATTAAGAAACATAGCAGTCAAAAATCCAGTGATTTTGACATATCAAAGATACCTACAAATGAACTTACACATACTACTTCCTAATAAAGTGAATTATAAATAAAGCAATTAAATGGAGAAAAAGAACAAAAGCTAGCAAGAAAATGTTCTGCAGGTCATATGTCACTATTTTGTGACAATGTTCTTAGTGGGGAAAAGAGTGAAGAGAATTTCAATGTGGGTAAGTGTTAAGGTGAAGTTTTCCTTTTGGAATGCTGCTCATTGTTCACACTTTTTATCAGGATGTTGGACTGTAATTCACAGTGCTTAATCCAGTCTTTATTTTAAAACATTTAAATAAATAAACAAAGATGTATTATTAAGAAACTGAGTACTGAAACCAAACACAGATCTACAGGTTACTCCAGTAATGAAAATTATGTGCTTCCTCTAATTACCCTTGAACTAGCACATCTTCTGAAGGGACAGAAGCCAGAACAAAAGAAAAATGGAACTTCCTTTTCTATTTGTTTTCAAGTGAAATTCTTCTTATGTCAAAATTAGCAGTGTTCTCTCTTAGCCTGAGGTGTTTGTCTCAGCAATGTTTCATCAACCAGCTACAGAATACTTTCAACTTACTTTTTTTGTTGACGCACAGGGGACACTAAGACATATATTTGTGACCATGGATTCCGCAAAAGTGTATTCACGATGACACTGACTTTTGTCAGTGCACATTCCCTGCAGTGCCCTGTGTCTTATTCAATTATTATATCTGAACTGTGGACCTGACCCACCTCATTTGAAGCCTGACTTGATTACAAAAATAAGGTCTGATTTTAGGGTGTGGAAAATTTCCACACAGCAGAAGTTAAAGGGCAGCTGAGATATTAATTTAAATCCAGAATCAATTTAATTTTAAGCCTCTAACACATTAGAAATAACAAGTTATTTGCTGCACCAGAAAGCTAAGCCTTTTTGTAGTTTCAGAATAAGGTGTGGATTAAGATAAATTCACCGTTTAAGGATAAAGCTCTAAATGGAATTCTGCTTCTCCACAATTCTATTGCATAATTATCCCCACAAGTAGACTCTGATGCATTTTAGTAAACATGATTCATTTTAAACCTCTTTCTTATGTAATTTAATGGTACATCAGTAGTGTCACTGAATAGTTGTATTGTAGCAGTGGGGCATTTTTGCTTCCTGGACACTGGATAAATAATCTGGACAAATGTTCACACATGACTCAAGGCTTCTTAGCAACAGAGTCAAAAAATTTTATTCCTTTTAGGGGATTCAGGTACCAGCTTTATCATCTAGGACTGACTAACCAGGAAACGTGAAGCCTCTTGAAATTGTATGTCCAGTATTCTGGTACTTGGAATACTATTTTCTTGACATTTAAAATATTCAAGTGAAAACAAAGAGAAGGACCCTTATCTGCTGCAAAAGTAGTGAGACATTGGACCCCAAATAGTTGAACAGCTCTTCTGCAGAAGGAAAATAGAAGTTTTGTTAATTAAGTTGGAGGGAAATAAAAGAAGTTTAGTTGTACAGAGAAATCAGGAAAGAAAGAGATTTTCTGAAAGAAGAAAAAACAGAAAAATAAGTTTACTTGTCAGGAGCGATAGGAAGTCTGGTAAAAAAATAAAGGCCGTAATATCTTTTAAAATATTACATATGTGTTGATTCTGGGAGAAAAGATCTGGGTCGGTCCTCTGGGCCATCTGCTAGCAGGAAGGAATCTGTTGATTTATTGCTGAGCCGGATTGGAGTGAGACGTCTGAAGTTGTCTGGAGAATATGGAAGCTGCACTCGGGCCCTTTGTGATGGTACCACAGTGTCTTCACTAGATAACCATGGTGAGAACTTCATGTAGATGCTTTGATCATCATCAGCTGAAAATACTGGGTTATCAATTCCTAAAAAAAAAAATTCACGGGTGACAAATAAAAGTAAACAAAATAATTTCTTGATAATACAGCAAGATGCTTTATATAAAAGGAGAAGGGTTGTTGGAAATAATGGGCTGATAATGCTCTGGGGTATGGATGTGACTAAGTCAGTACACGGACCATTACACACACACATATACTTTGGTTATTGCTAGACATATATTGGATTTCAATTAAAGAGAAAAATTAGTTGTCACATCAAAAATGCAATTATATTAGGGACATATTGAGACAAAAAATTAAATCAAAGAAATAATCAGTCCACAAGTGTTAAACAGGGGGAAAAAAAAAGCCACAACATAAAATAACTGCAGAAAATTCAAATCAAATCCATAAAAATAAAATAAAAAAAAAAAGTGAATAAAACCCCAACTTCACCACTCCATAAACAGATGAGTGTGAGGCAGCTATGGTAAGCCATGAAACAGTCAAAAGTAAGATATAGGAGCCTGTTCATACAGTTACCAAGTTTGACGAGCTTTTACATAAGCATTTTGCATCTTGCCATGCACTCATTTCTAGGCCTCTTTATACATACTCAAACATAGAACTTGTCATCAAACAGTGTCATGCATAAAGTGCAGTTAAGGTTGTCTGTCACAAGAGTATGGACACAAGCCTTTTTCTTCTGTAGGCATTAATTACACATGAAGCAAAAAGTGTCATGCTGAAAAAATTTAAATACAGAAGTGCTGAAGAGAAATACTGAATTTTATAACTCCATAAGTCATATGATATGGTTTCTGTTATATATTGTTATAAGCTTCCAATCTGGTATTTTGGAGTCTTTCAGGGCTGGAAATCAAGGACATTTAGTGCTCCAGAAATGCTGCAAATCTGCCCTTTTCAGTGACTTCTATAAGCCTGTAAGGATCTGATGTGATTGTCAATATAAAAGGAGAAATCTTGCCTGAAATAAGAACAAAATTTATCACAACGAAGTTCCAATGCAAGAGGAAAAACAATTCCAGAGGACTAGTATTGACTGGTCTTGTGAGTTAAGACAATTCTAAAATCACATTTTCTGCTGCCAGAAATAATTAGTGGCTTTAAAACTGGTTTAGGTAGTCATGTTCACAACTACTGTCAGTTTCAAATGTGATACTCTCCATACCTCCAGATTCAAAAAATCTTTATGTTAAATTAATACTAAGAAAATGTATTTTGAGATTGAACACATAAAATCACAAAATCAAACAAAGAAAAAAAAAACAGGCTAACTCATCAGTATTTCTAGTACATTTTGTTATATTTGAGGGAAAATAAACCTTTGTAGATAATAGATATTTTTACCAGCAGGAGTATCTGTGAAATTTTGTTTCGTCACATTAGCCAGGAAATCAACTCCTTTGCCTAGATGCAAAGTCTCATAATCATTATTTTCTTCTGATTCAGAAAATTCCAAATCTAGGGGGAAAAAAAAAAAAAAAGAGAAAGTGCAATTTCATTAGAGATTTGTATCAGTTCTGTTAGAAAATGCTATTTCCTACTGGTTTGATGCTGCCATGGTTATCAAAAATACACCTTTAACAAGGATTCTCATCACTTGACACAGGCCAGCATTAGTATAATGACTAGTGTCAAACCCAGTGAGGTCATTGCTGCTTTTGCTGCAGTAGAATAAGTTTTGCACTAGCTGCTAAACCACTTGTTAAGACTGTCTTCTAGTTAAACTTTTTTGGTTTTAAGTAGATGATGACACCTCTATGCAGAGTTCTTTAATAAGACAATATTGAATGACCTACTTAGGAGTATTTGGAAAGCTCTTCCCAAGCAAAGTAGTTCTAGAATATTACACTTGGGGAGCCAATCCATGCTGGCCCTCTCAGTCAAACAAAAACAACACTCAGTAAATTATTCAAAGAAGATACATAAGGAAAAATATATTTGCTTGGAGCTACTGACAAAAGATAATTCCCTCTCTATTTTACTTGAGTTGTCTGTGGGATCAAGAAGTTACAGAGGGAAGAACACAAATCAAAGTTAGTTCAGGGGCTTTTTACCACATTTCAGTTTTGAAGTGACACATTTTAAAATCGTATAACAAACATGTTAGCACCCATCCCATCTTGTCATGCCTGACACCAATGCCAAAAATATGGCTAAGACAGGAAAGAATTTGGGACTTCAAGTGCAAAACCAGCTTTTGCTAGAGATAGTCCCAGGCTGGTCAGCTTCCAGTTACACTTCCAAGCCTGACCCATGTGATAGATCCATTCATGAAGGGTGGAGCAGTGCTGGAACAACTCTGACTGTGTGTTCCTTCCAAAGCTACACCCTCCTTGACTTATATCATGCTTACATAGCCTCAGCTCTGATTCAGACCCTTATAAAACAGTGGACTTTAACTCAGATAAGAATGCAATCTCAGCTACTGAATTTTATATGGCTGGTGTCTTAGGCAGACATCCTGTTGTGATGAAAAAAAAGTTAGCAGATCTGTGTACCTTATCCAAACAGAAGCTGAAAGTTAATTTATATTGTAGCCACTGTATTGTTTTGTTTACAGAATATAAACGTGATATTTTTAAAATGTGGGAAAAAGGCCAACTAAAATTTTGTTTGTCATCCAGATTCCTAAAAAACCAACTTCCAAACACTGCATTTAAGCATGGTATAGATCACCACTCCAAGTTATGAATTATGACTAGAAGTCCCTTTTTACTATCAAATTTGCTATGGCATATCACAAAATCTTTTAGTGATGCTTTACTGGCAACGTAGCTGGTAAAATTCAGTTAATGAAAACAGTCTGAGAGTCTTTTTACCTTTTTCCTTCAAAGTAAAATCTTGTACTGGATTTTCTGAAGGAATGTTTCCATTTGGTATGACACTGCTATTTCTCTGAAAAGAAAGCAAAAAGTGACCAAAAATGCTAATGTCATCAGATAGCAATGACAGTGACACCCTTTGAAATGATGAGTCCAGCAGAATAACCCTGAAATCATTGTAATATTTGTCTGAGACTCAATATGGTTGCCACTAATTTCCCACCTACACTTGAACTGTGTACAGATAGGGTAAAAGAAAGGAAACTTTAGCCCTTTTTTGCTGTGTGTTCCCTCTCAGTTTCACACAATTTTGGTTGAATGCTCCATGCTATAGAGCTATCCTGTTACCTCTATCCTGCAAAATCTCTCCACAGTGTAGTAGCATGATTCAGGGTCTGTTGTTTTTCAAGTGATCAGGAATCTCTCACCCAGAAGAAGAGTCCCAAAGCATAGAGAAGTGCAGAATGTGAGAAGAAGCCCCTTGAGTTACCTCCTAATTTAATCTCTTCTTGCTTAGGTCCTCTAAATTAATGAAATTCTATAGGACAGAGATAAATGCAGGACATAGGACCTTTCAGAGTCCTCCCTACCCTTCCCACCCATTAGTTTGTATAATAGATGGCTACATCTGGGTCCTGGTGAAAGTATTTTTACCCTTTTTTGGCCCCGATCTCGTTTGTGGATTTTATTGAACTTCTTGGAATGGTTTATTCCTAGTTTGGTACTCTTGAAAGATTCTAAGCGCTTCCTCATTGTCCTATGGAAAATCTCCTTGTCTTGTTTGTCATCTTCACTGTGCATGATCTCATGTCGACTGTACAGGTGTTTGTGCTGTGGCCAGGAAGGGAAGACAATATTCATTTACTTAGAAATACAGATGAAAGCCCTGAATCAATGCATTCAATCAGTGTCACAAAAATGTAAACAACTCCATAAGAATGAACTAAAGACTAGTCTGAAGGCATTAATGAAACTCCCATTTTTCTTTTTTCTTCATGAAACAAGTCCAGGAATTTTAAGTGTGTAAGATTGGACTGTCATTCAAAGTAAGCCTCTCCCTATAAGTGTCTGAATCACTTCAGTTGATACACTTCATTTAATCCTGATCAGAACCTTTGCTGGACACAGTTCTGCATTCCACTGGCCCCAGTGATTTCAAATGCACTAGTTCTTTTTAAAAGCCATGTTGTTACATGAGAAATCACACAAAGAGCCTATCTTCCTCAAGGGTGCGGATTTTGCAGTGGGTTCTCTCCTGAATTTCACTCACAAGGTTTGGTTCCTATTTCCTCTTAGGTTTAGATTTTAAAACCATCCAATGCTAGCCTGTTGCTCTCACCTCCTGCCTGGGTTTATACAGGTACTGTTGTAGGGTGTGATGAGCGAGGGTATCTTCCGTGTCCCGAATACTTTTCCTTCTCTGCTCTAAAGCTTGCATGTCAAGGCAAACTGGTCCAGCTTTTTCTCTCCTGAAGAAAACCACAAATAGCGGTTTTTAAAATCAGTGATTGCTGAAGAGGAAGAAAAAACAGGAAGACGAGGAATAAAAAGGAGAAAAGAAGATGAAGTTAAAAAAAAAAAAGGAAAAGGAAAAGTAAGGACTGACTAAATGACAATAAGTGAGTAAACGCCTAATGGGAAATGTGAAAAGATCACTGTCTTTCAGGGGGATGTAGCAAATGTGTAAATTTCACAGTTTACATGACACATCATCTGTTCAGTGACAGATTCATCAAAAAGTTAAGGAAGGGGCAATTTTCTTCCTCGCCTCTCCCCTTACTTTTTCTGGAGCGAACACAGAAATAACATCTAGCCCTGTATATAACAGCTGGAAAACCAAAGGCAAATGAAACAACTCTAATGTGGGTGTCTGCTTCATCTTACCAGAGTTTACTGAAAAAAAACTGTGTAAAATATAACATTATAAATCCATATATACCCATTTTCTGTGGCTGAAAATATTTAAGTTCAAAAAAGTAGTGACTGAAGCCCCTGTAATTTGCATTTTTCAATTTTTTTAGCAGTGTTTCAATTTCCTCTCATATACCACTCTGTCAATCCACATTACTTACAATAAATAAGAGACAGAACTTTCCACTGTGCCTGGGAGTGGAGTGCTGAAATCCACATTTACCATGTTGTCTGTACTTGGAGAACGTATAAATGCCAGCGAACCTCTACGTTCTCCCTGGTCATGGAAAGAAACAAGACATATTACAGCTGTAAAAACCTAGGACAAAATATGTATCAAAATACAAATAATTTGTGAGACTGTATTTATGCAAATGGCACAAGAAGTATGGGAGGAGTTGTATCTAGGTATCAAATAAAAAACATTTTTTGGTCTTATGGTTTCTTTGCGTTGAGTGACATTTTCCCAACAAACAAAGCAATGAGAAAATCTATTCCACTGTTAGAAATTGATTTTGAAGGGGTGAGTGATTTCCTGTGCCTCAATAGATTTGCAGTTTTACTTTGTACAATGTTGCAATCCAAGAGCATAGAGATATACATACAGATGTTCATGTATCAGCGCAACACCATACAATACCAAATACAGAACACTAAGTTTTCTGTTCTCTACCAGACTGGAATCAACAAATATTAAGTGGTGACAGAAGTCTACAAGACTATTAGAAAGAGGTTATGGCATGACAAGAGATACTGAAGAGATGAGATTTTCTTTGAGTTTTAAAACTAGTGTCACAGAAGTGAACTGCTGGAAAAGTTCAGTTTTATCTCTTCATACTTTCCCCTACACCTTAAGTAATCTCTTGCTTAGCTAAAAAGTATATGTTGTGTGACATTGGTTACACAAGCTGAAACCATCTATGGTTTTGAGTCACAGCAGAGAGAAATCACATGGCAGGTGTCTAAATTTTAAACAGTAATAATCAAGAAAAATCATCTCCCTTGCAGAACAGAGATTTAATCTACATTTCTCCAACTGTATGAAATACACTGTGGCCTCTGCAGGCAGAAAATTTGAGGTTAATAAAATTGAACTCTGGGAGAACATTGTCCCATTCATTTTCAAGTGAATCTAACTTCCTTTACAAATCAAGTTTAATGTTTCATACATGCATCGTACCATATTGTCAGTGAAGGAATTTTAGCCAGAACAAGTTACAAACCATTAGTATTTTAAGTCACTTCCCTTCAGTTGCTCTGGATTATTTTAATTTTTCTTGGTTTAGGTTCTCCCCTCTCAACTGTAAGGAATTTACTTAGATTGAGACTGAACTCTCTCAACTCCTATTTATTATATAGATGCAGCATAGCAGCAGAGTTGAACAAAGAAAAAGATATAAAATAATTTTTTAAATTGCTCAGTTTCTTGCAAGTCAGAAGAGATTGACAGCTGGGGGAGACAGGTCTTTACTTGTCCTGGGAGAAATGGCTTCAATTTCAATGTCAGCTTGTAATTCATAGATATTTAGTTCAAAGATATATTTGAAAAGTGAAGAGAATGTTGTTAAAGCAATGTATCATTGAAGAAAATATTAAAGTGACAAAGGTGAAATGACTTTAGGATTCACAACTCATAATTCATTTCTGCTGGAAGAAAATATGTTGCAAAACTTCTGTAGAACTTGGAGAACTTTCAATTCTTTTTCTATTATTATAAGCTCGGTAGACATTTTCCCAATAGAATTTATGTGCAAGAAACAATATACAGAAATAGCATTTGGACTAATGCAACAAAGAGCAGTTCCCTTATGTTTCATCTCCCAAAAATTTATTAACCTAACTTTTAGTAATCTGTCTTTACTATATGGGATCAAAGACATCAAAAAAATTCTGATCCTAAATCTGCATGTATTAGTGATCTATAAAGCCCTTTGCAGCTATTAAAGAGAAGAAACACTGTAACAAATCTACTGAACAGATTCAGCAATGAATCTGAGCATGAGTTTCATGGTCATCCACCTCAAAGTCATTATCCAACTTTCTTCCTCTGAGGTGTGACCTAGAAAGTATCACAAGAAAGAAAATTAGTTCTTGAGCTCCGATGGTTTAAAAACCAAATAGATAATATACAAAATCTCAAAAGGAAGAATTTGCTTATCGTGTGAATCATTCTCCATCTTCCATACTACCATAATTTCTGAATTTCATCATGTTTTCTGAATTCAGTCTCAAAAAAAAAAAAAGTTTAGCAATAGTAATAGTAGTATGAGTCATACTAATAATTTTTATTTAAATTAAAGAAATTAACTGATATATATCAGCTAACCATGCAAATTAATTCAATTGGAGATCATGGGCATGGGTAGATTATAATTTCAAAGACCACTATTAAAAATATTTCATTTAAAACTATCCTTTATACTACATCAATACTGAGTATTTGTGGCTGTTTGAAGTAAGGTGACTAATTTCATCCTGAAGAAGATTAGGAATTCTTACACGATCAGGCAACATTGCTGGAGTACTTCTGCAGAAGATCAGAAACTTCCTTCAAACCACCTTTAAAAATTTCTCCTGTTGCAAGTCTTAAGTTTCCCTAACTTCACAATTCTTTGATTGCAATTGATATTTGTAGTATATTTAACCCTAACTATTGACATGGGGGTGATGTTTCCATTGAATTAAAGTTACCCTTTAGTTTTTGGGGGTTTTTTGTGCATGTTATAATGACCTGGCAGATTGAGATTAGCAGACCCATACTTTGGCCACTTATGCAAATCATTTGGATGTGAGCTTCTTGAAATCAGATTTGTCATCACATAGAACCACTATCCTGCAGGAGCCAGAACCTGTTGACACATTTAGAAAGACAACACCCCTCCAGAATTACAGTATTTTTTCATGTAATGAATATAGAAACAAAGATAGTCAGTAAAATGCAACAGAAAAAGTACAGTCAAGTAAGTACAATATACTAGTATTTGGTGATCAGGCACAGTATTTTGAGAACTACAGCTTCTTGAACCAGCAGTACCGACACTCAAAACACATTAAAAAAAATTAAAAAAAAAAAAAAAAAGCAGATCTGAGATGGAAATAGTTTTCCTTTAGGCATCTCCTGCAATATATCAACTTTAAGTTATAATATAAATTTTAAAGATCAAATTTCTAATGATGCTATAATATGTCAACAAGTGTTCATAAGTACCTCAGCCACATAGCTAATTGCATCCTTCAAGTTGAGCTCATGGAAAACATTAAGGATTTGGTCTCTTGATTTTTGAGCAGACCTTCTCATCAGTATTTTTCTGAGGAATTTCCTATCAAAATTGGACCACCTGATAATTTAAACAAACTGTGTTAATGGCAACAAGCAATTTTAGTTTCAAAGCATTTTTAATTTAGCATAAATTATATTTTTTGAGCTAAACACTTTGAAAAAAAGGATGAACAGTGGAATGTGAGGGATTTGAGTCTTGAAGCTTTTCAGTTAGAATTAGCATGTAAAGAAAGTCAAGGAAAAGCCTGCTACAGGTTTATGCAGCTGTCACAGAGCATTTAATCAGTTCACTTACCCAACACTACTACAAGAGTGCTATGATTACAGTATCCCATTTCAGAGTCAGTAACATATTTTATACTTTGGGAGATCATTCTACCTTATTTTTGCACTTCTGATTATGTTTAATTTTCTTCCCTTGTTGGGAAAGCAATCTGCTTTTCCCCAGTTTTATTGTAGGCCAGCCAGACCAGAAAACCAATTCATAATAACAGTGCCCTTCCAAAAGCTCTGCCAGAGGGCTTTATTCATGCCACTGATGTACTCTGCTCTGGGGATAGTAGCCATGTGTATTTTCAATTATTTACTCTTCCAAGATTTTCTGATTGTAGCGTATCTGCCCTGTCATGCTTAAGAGTCTAAAAGATTAAAGGCTGTTGTACTTTCTTCTGGCTTCCTCAACACTTCGTCTAAAGGGCATGAGGCAGCGTTGGAGACTACTGCTGAGAATGACTCTATCCATCTCGTCCAAAGGCTGTTTTGAGTTTACAGCTTTTGATTCTGATTGCTTAAACCTTTCTGTGTTAAATATTATTCACATAATTGATAATTATTCCTCTTCTCTGGCCAGAACATCTGACCAGCAAGCTCTAATTCAGGCTGCCACACATGCACCCATCAGTGAGGATGCTAGGGGTTGCCATTTCTTTATGGAAGCAGCAATTTTCATGTACACAGAGTACAAAAGGCGGGCTTGAGATGGTCTCATTCAAAATACATTAGTCGTCAAACCACATACTCAGCCATGAATCTACATTAAGCTATTTCTTCTGTTCTTGCTCACAGGGATTACTTTCTGACGTGCAAGAAGTCACATGCTAATCTGCCACTTTAAAAATATAGCTCTGTCTTTGAGGCACTTTATCTAAACTGGAGATGTATTTGCCTATATTATATATAGCCTACTGAAATTTATTCCCAAAAAGTAAACTACAAACTTAGACCAAAAAAAAGAAGATGTTCTGTCTGGAGTGCCTCAGGAAAATTCTTCACTGTATACATGAATGAAGAGCAAAAGGAAAGGAAGGAGGTAAGTCTCTATAACTGGATGCAGGTGAGCAATTCAGCTTGAGCTGCAGTACAAGGTAGCTTCAGCCTAGGAATTGTATTGTTTTGTATGATAATGCTAAACCTAAGCTAACAGACTCAGCTCTCAGAAAGCATTAGAGGTGTACTCTGCAGAAAGTTAACACAACCACTGGCTTTTGGATTGGAATTTGCATGTTGAGTCAGCAAGAGGTTAGCAGGTCAAAACTGTAGCTGTTGGCACCTATTAAATGACCTGACTCCAGGGAGACAATGGCCTAACTTGAAATAACACTCTTAAGGATGTCCAGATTTAATGTCCTTTTTTCCACATTTATGCATCTAGGCATGGAAGTGTGTCCATCACAAGGGTAACTCTTCACATGTACTTTAAAGGAAACGTTGAATCTTTCAGCTGAGTAATTCTGCTTCTCTCAAGATGAATCAAGTATAAACAGAGGGGATGGTTCATTATTGGTTTTAGACTAATAGGCTGAAACTGTCAGAGCAATTTCAGAGCACCCTCTGCCATAACTTTCAGAGGTGTTGAACACATCCTCGTAGAGATAGGATAAACAGCTAGCATAGTTGTAGCTGAGGATTTTTGGTGCCTCCACACATAAATAGTGTTCATGAAATGTAGTATTACAAAGATAAATCAGCATTGACATTCTAGGTGAAAACTTCTGCAAATACTCAGTTCTCTAATCTTGAGAGAATGACCCTGTGTTTGAACTGAGGCATCTGCAAAGGCATAATCTTAACTGTGGAAGAGAAAGGAGAGATTCTAGTTTTAAGGGGACAAAAATATATTGTTTTGACATTTGTTGTATTTCCAGTATTTTCAGTATGTAACCTCTTTAACTGCATTTAGCATCCTTGCTTTCCCTAAGCTCACAGGCTTAAAAAGTTATATATATGTACAGATAATATTTCCTATCAGTATTTCATGATTCTAAATTGGTTATTACTTACTTGTCTCTCAGATAATGATGCCCTATTTGTCCAGAAATGTCTTCTATAGCAGAAAGAATGTGATCAAAGGCCTAGGAAAGTGAGAGTGAAATTAATATCTTTACAGAAATAAAAAATGTAATTAGAAAATAGTTCAATTTATTTCAAGGTAGACCAGGTGACTATGCAGCATAATTTTATGGCTGGTTTTGGTTTTTTTTCCCATTTACAGAAGTACTAACTACTATAAGCTTTTCTTCAAAGGTCCTGAACTTTCTAACCAGTTCTTTACAAATTCACTAGGTGTTCTTGAATGACAAGGGTCTCAAATGAGAAGGTATTTAAACCCCCATTTTAACATTCAATTTTAAAACTTTTATGGACTTGTTTTACCATCTCCATTTCTGCCCTATAAAGTGCATCTGCCACTATTAGTGTAAGTGATGATTTCAGTTGAACAATTTCCCCAGTGATTCTTTTTAGATGTTTCAGGAGTTCATACTCCCCTCAGAGTAGAAGTAGGCACCATTCTTTTAATATCTAGGGCAAAATTTCATACCGAGTATATTAGATGGTTGATAGAAATCTGGAAGCTTACAACTCTTGATGCAAACCAAGGCAGCTGCATGTACAATTTGGCCTTTTTCTATGCATGGTTATAAACATTTCACTCTGAACATTGGAATGATTACTGCAGGATATACAGGTGCTAGGTTTGAAACAGCACTGCTGATTTGGCACTGGTGAGGCTGTATCTATAGTCCTGGGTCCTGTTCTGGGCCCCTCACTTCAAAAAGGACATTGAGATGCTGGAGCATGTACAGAGAAAAGCTACGAAGCTGGGGGAGGGTCTGGAGCACATCCTGTGAGGAGCAGCTGGGGGAGCTGAGGTTGTTACACCTGAGGAAAAGGAGGCTCAGGGGAGACCTTATCAATCTCTGCAACTGCCTGGAAGGAGGGTGTAGGCAGGTGTGTGTTGGCCTCTTCTGCTGTGTCTCAAGTGAAAGGACAAGTGGAAACAGTCCTCAGTTGTGACAGGGGAGGCCCAGATTAGATTTCAGAAAAAAAAGTTTTCACTGAAAGTGTGGTAAGCACCAGAATAAGTTGCCCAGAGAGGTGGTGGAGTTGCCATCTCTGGAAGAGTTCAAGAGCTGTCTGGATGTGGCACCTGAGCATATGATTTACGTGTGGTTATGATGGTGAAGTGTTGATGGATTGAACAGGATGTTCTTGAACATCTCTTCCAACCTTGATTATTCTGTGATGTCTTATAGTCCTCCATCCTTTAACCTCTATTTATATTGAAAAGTTATGTTTTCTTTTACTGAATGAAAACTTTATCATGTGTTGTGAAAGTGAATTGGAAGAGTTTGTGTTTCAAAATATTTTAAAAGGGTAAAGAAATCCAGAGACTGTTGTCATTAATCTGGAATTTCAGTATATAATTATTCTGTTCTGGGCAGCAGACTATCTTTCCATGTAATATGCAAGCTACAAAGCCTGCATTCATACCTTTTCTAAAAATTAACAGCTTTTGAGGAGGAAAAATAAATTTATTTGGACATGCTTTGCCCTAGCAATCAACAATCATTCTCCGCTTTTAGATGAAGAGAAAGAAGCATATTCCATGTGTGCTGTTTCCTCAGTAATCCCAGCCCCATTGAATTTCCAAGTGAAAGACCAGAACTTTCATGTGAATATCCTCTCACAGGACTCGAACCAAAGAGAAACAGCAACTTATAACAACTTTTGAAATGTTTGAAGGATTTTGCTCTTGAAATGTGATAGCCCACTCCCTTACAAAAAAAGACATTTTCAGTAAAAATTTTGTTTTCTCTGAAGGTGTTCTGTAAAAATCCAAAAGACACCATAAGGTTTTTTAAAAATATCTTACTCTGCCATGAAGTTTCTCATTCAGTTTTGGTTCTCTGTGTTCAGTTTTCTTCACTTTCAGCCACTGTACCAAAGGTTTGATAGTCAGTCCCTAAGGATTGAAACATGACAATAAATACTTGGAAGTCTTCTTAAGACTTTCCTCCAGCTGGTTAAACAGAAATAAAGCACATTTGTGTGTTACTTGGTGATTCTCATACTTTCTCAGTTGATTTCTCTTCCTTCTAGAAGATAAAATAATGCAGTACCCTCAACTCCAATTACAAATGTTAGAAAAGACAACAGTGAAAAATTATATCACCTATAGGAAGAATATAGTAGTGGAAGAGTAGAAGTGTTTCCTATGCCACTGGATGTGGTATTTCACCACAAGTCAGGAGTTTGGGAGCACAATTAAACTTTCTGTAATACACTTCAGAAAATATTGCAAGCTGCTATCTACTGACATATTTTCATTTAAATTACCGGTTTTTCATCCAAAAAGTGTTATTTTGTTTGGACCTTAAATACTTTCTTGTCTCACTGCTTGCTGCTATATTTTAAAACAAGGACTGAAGCTCAGGTAGATCAGCTTAATGACTGTATCTCCCATTAAAAGCACTGCTCCCTATAGTTATTCATATGAGGTGAAGGATGTTTAATCAGATATTAACTTGGCACTATTAATACCAAGCAGCTAAGACTGAACAATTTTTAGCACAGAGGAAATTGTGTTTTGCCCCATGTGGTCCCACATGAAAACATAAAATAGGATCTTTGTTACTAAAATTACAAATTCAATTATGCTTTCAGTTCAGTGAAACAATATGCAACCTTCAGCTGAGAACTGCTTCAAGCATTCAGTACTTTTTGGGGACTCCTTCTCCTTGCAAGAAACATGACTAAGAAGTTAAATTACCTGGAATATAACAGTAAAAAACACAACAATTATAGTTGTGCTGACAAACAGGTTTCTGTCTTTCACTTTATCCTTATCCAGAAGTGCAACAAGAGCAAAAGCAACTGCTCCTCGCAGTCCACCATAGGACATCACCACCTGGTCTATTATCTCCAGCTGGACAGTTCTGTAGCGGTTAAGAATCCATGTCTGTATAATGACACCTGTAAAAAACAAATGTCAGTGTTTCTAGAAATACCATTATGGAACATCAGTATCCCAGATGGATGTAACAGAAATGGTGCCACCAGACTGCCTTTGTAACAATCCAGAACATCTACTTCCCCCTCTTATCACTGTGTTGCCCACTTGGTGCCTTCTCTTTACACCGAGCCAAAGGAATTAGGTGAAGCTGCTACTGTGAGCCAGGAGCTCTTCTGAGAGTGCTACCCTCTGGTAGAGGCACTCCAGGGAAAGTGTCACACTGCCATGTGCTGACCTTGGAAATTTGTTAAGAATAGATTTTCTAGCACTGTAACCGGTGATATGCACAGGGTCAGTTAACAGAAATGGGTTAAAACAGCACTGATTTAGGGAGTAAGTGTGGTACCCTTTGCAAATCACTGAAAATTACATTTAAGTCATTGTCTTATGAAGGGTTGTTTAGTTATGCTAACACTGTCTTCAGACCTATGGATGAGATGCTTCCTGCTGCAGGAGACTCTAAGGCTCTAACTGTCTCAGTGCATCCCAGAACTTGCACCATACAGAGGGAAAACAGCTTCACCCCTCCTGTGACTGGCACGGCATGTGTGTCCCACTGCAGCAGGCCAGGGCTGTTAACCAGTGCAAAACAGATTTGTCTCTTTTTAGAGAACTTTGAACTTGTGCCAAGAGAAGTGTCTTGTCACTGGAAGGAGGGCCTCTGGAGGAGGGGACCTTGGAAATGCAACAAATCTGAGTTCTCCAGGGAATGAGAACTGCAATTATGTAAGACCCAATATCATCAGGTATTTAGTAATTTGTTGATATCTAAGATCAATTACTTTAGTGGGTGCTTATTGTTATTGCTGAATATTTACTATTTACATATCATCACATCTATTACAGTATTATTAACCACCCATTCGAGGAATACAAAAAGTGTCAAAAGCAAGGCATGGAAAACTCTTAAACACCTCAGGCACATTAGCAGTTACTGAGAGGCAGCTAAATGAACAATGCTTGCAAACTAGAAAAGGAGGGCAAGGAGCTAGGCACTTCATTCAGCTCAGGAGTTCTAGACAGAATAAGAACACAGAATCCAGGAAAATTGCCAGCTAGATAGATGTGTGACCTTTCATTTGAATTTAAGTCAAGACAAACAAGCAAATAAGCTGGTTTAATTTATTCCCAGGTGTAAGTACATACACCAAATTGCCATGTGTGTTACTCTCAACAAGTACTTCATTCTAGACCTTTGTTGCAATTTTAACAAAACTGCAGCAGAACTACATAGCTGGGCAAATCATCGTTGGTATTTTGAAATGTTTGCAAACTTATATAAACCCAGTAAATCGACAGTAGGTAATCCCTACCTGCCCCAGCCTTATTTACTCAAGTTTTTCATCAGTCCCTGAGAATTATTTCTTAAGCCAGAGAACCTGCAGTGTGGCTATGTATGGTCTGATATCACTGTGTGCCTAAAAGCTGAAGTCAACCATAACATTAGCTTAAGACAATCTCTTTAGTGCCAAATTGAAAGAGCTGAAGGAAAGATACAGCTGACAAGAGTCACATCTTTTGTCAGGCTGCAAGTTAAAGAACAAAGTCCATTTTACTGGGAGATTTTGCCAATACCATTTGCTGGGTCAACAAAGGTTAGCCACTGAATGATTTGTGTTGACTGGTGGGCTACTCATATCCTCACACATCATCAAAAATGAAGTCCTGCTATATTTTCAGCACATGACGGAACTTACTGTAGAGCTTACTCTACTACTCTAACCCAAACCAAACAATAAATTTGACTAAGATAAATTGTATGTTTTAAAAGGAACAAACCTAGAACTCCAAATATTTTTTTAGGGAGAGGGCTAAAAGCATATGTGATTACATCAGCAGTATGGTGCACGAACAGGAAGGTCACCACCTTACCAATAACTCTATATACCGAGATGAAGACCAGAGTCAACAGAATAAAAGCCGTATTCCAAGTCCAGATATCTGGATCCACAGCTGAAATGCCCAGGAACATGAAGATAATAGTTTCTGCTCCACTGGCCATCATTTTCATAGTATATCTTACAGTTGTAGAAGACTGTTCAGATATGTTAGCCTTGACATATTTCTGACAGCAGATGCCACAGAAGGTTATCCTAGAAAAAGAAGCAATTGTTCAGAAAATACCTGTTGCAACATTTAATATTATTTCCATCTGTCTATCACATAGTGATAAAAACTCGGCATTAATTCCTAAGATACACTCACAAGTGCTTGTGGAGTCTAACCTAGGTAAAAAGCATGTCTCAAACATACATGCTGGTGTGACCTCAAGTGGCCTGAAGACAGCGTTTCATTAGGACACAACAGACTGTCATTCTCTTCAGATTACCATACTGCTTTCAAAGCAAAATTTTAAGCCTTGTTTACATTAGGCATAATCTTAAACTAATGATCTGTTTGCAGAAAGATTTTCAGACCTTCAATGCACTTACTGTATCATCTACAAACATGACAAGCAGAACTGAGAAGGAAGGGTATGCCAGGAATCAGTGGATACTAAGAGAAGAAAGATCACAGAGGTACTCAAACCAGAATAGGCAACATTTAGGCAAACCTTACTGGCCAGCCAAGACAGAGAGAGAGGACAGAGAATAATGACATTCACACACTGCCTTAGAAAAATATTGCTTTAGTTTCAAATTATAGGGAAAGATGTCAGCATAAATGGACAACTCTTAAGTTTGAAGTATTATTAATAACAGAGATGAAAGAATCATATCTGTATTTAGCAAAGGAGTTCTCATGTTGCTCAGCAGGTACTGGGAAACTTGCATTCCTTTTCAAGGCTGAATGACAGTATTTGCAAACTATAATCTAGTGCAGTGTGAACATAGTATTATCCAGCATAAACTTAATGAGTGTCATATTCAATAGTTGTCCCATATAATTTAGGTTTTCCTTTCAATGTTTTTGAAATCCATATTCCCTTCTCATCCCCTTCATAGGCAGTAATAAAAAGAGACTTACGCTAAGATGGCAGAAAGAGAAAGCATCTCTGCTGTGAGGTAGGACAGGTAGGAAATGATAAACACAAATCCAGGTTCAATGATCCTCACGTGCTTGGTGAAACGACTGACCAATGAGAGCAGGAATGCAAAGAAAACGCCAACCAGTGTCCCACCGAGGCTCACCACAAAGAATGACACTGAAAAACAAAACACCTAACACAGCTTAAAACCGTAGAAGTATGGTGGTTTGAGCTTGTTCTCTTACAGAGAGAGGATGGCAAATGGCCAGTAATCACAGAAAAATTTGGAGGACGTGTCAAATTCATTTATTGGCTCAAGGCTTTTGAGCACATGGTACATGAATGTAGCATTCTGTAGAAATACAAGGCTACTTCTGTTAAGCCTCACCATTTTACTTTTATTCAAACCACTACATTTCTTTGTACTGTTTTTTCCCCATGTTCTGTAAACAAAGGCTGCTACCAGAGCATATTATAGAATATGACAAAGTTATTATTAAAACATTCATTCATAAGATAATTTAGTTTCATGCAATTCTTGGAATGGGAAATAGTGACTAAATTTTCAGGCAAAATTTCTTCGTAGTTACTGGCAAACATTACTCAACGGTGATCAGTGATAAGGAGTGGCAGCACCTGTATGCAATCTTGACTTTCCTGGAATGCGGGAAAGCATAGGCTAAAATTAAGGAAATGCTATTAAATTTAAAAAAATATATAGCTGTCAGATTTGGTGGTCTCAAGAAATGAACTCCACATCTGTTGAGTCTTCTCAAAAGAAAACAGATCTGATTAAGTTTCCTGAATATCCAGGAATATTTATTTATTTATTTTCTTAAGACATTTGCCTATGCCATACAAGTGTGTGAATATGAGTAACAGTGGAAAGGACTGAAAAATAACAGTTGCTAATAGGATAATAGTAATATTTTGTTTAAAATACTGTAGATATACATCAATTGTGTGATACAGAATTCACTTCTACGCACCTATGCCTTTGAGACATTCAATCCCCGTCACATTCGCTGCACCTATTGCAACAAAAGAGTCAAACACGTTGTACAGCACCTGGAAAGAAAAGTAGACTAATTTAATAATTGCCCCTGAATTGAGCCTATTAAAGTAATCTCCTATGGGGCTTCAATGTTATGAAGTCTGAAATTGTGTTTGACTAAGGGAAATTCTGTCTGGAGGGAGAATTTTATATTTTCTCAAAATAAAAGAAATGCAGTGGGCCAAGAAGAAACAAAAAAACCAAAAAAAACCCAAACAAACAAAAAAAAACACTCAAAAAAAAAAACCAAAAAACAACACCAACAGCAAATATAAGCACCTCATATCATTACATTTCTCACTTCAATAAGTCCCCTGTGTATAAGAATCATTGTTATATATATATGTGTTTTCTAAAACATTTCTCTCTGTAAAATCCAGGTATTTGAAAGATTGATTTACTCACGTGTATAAGAAAAATAAGATACTAAATAAGACAATAATAAGATGCTAATAATAACATACTGAATGTTGAACATATATAAGTTGAACATGCAAGAGAATTTAATAATTGTGCTAAAACTTTTAAAACAATTGACTAACAGTGATTGAGCTGAAAATAAAGAATTCACCTTATCCATACCATAATCTAAGGAGGTTAATATGAGCATAATTTTTGAGACATGCCGATTTAATCTGCTCTTGGTTCTTCCAGTGATGAGGGAAGACTTTACTATGGCTTTCTCAGCTTTCCTTGTTACAGCTAAACTTGATAATTCTGATCATATTCACCCAGTCACAGTATGCAGGTTACTTTTTTTGTTTTTAAACAGTAGTCTTTTACATATTTATGTTTAAAAAATGCTATACCATCCAATTTCTTCTATCTTCTAGTCTTTCCTTTTTCAAGGTAGTAACTCCACTGTTTCAAATTTCTTCATAGGCTGTGCTTTCTAGCTCTGGATCATACTTGCTCTTCTGTTTTTTCATCAGTGAACAATCAAACTTTCTTTTATTTGTAGACTGGTTTTGTTCATTTCACAGTAATAAAAACTGCTTTCCTTCAGAAAGCCAGTGATGTTGATATTGAGTTCATCAGAGGTTTATTTTAATATTTGTTTCTGGCACTACCCCAGAAGTTTTAATGGTACTGATATCCAAGGGCAATTAGGTTTTTCTGGAAGCCATACTGTTGTTTTCAAACTCATGTGAACAATGAGGCTGCTGCCAATGACCTTGGAGTGCTTTGCTCCCTTGGCTGCAAAACATTAAGGCTCTGAGCCTCGTGAACATGTTTTACCCTTCCTTGCAGATAGGCAAGGGCAGGAATAGGAAATGATCCAAAAGTGAACTGAAGCTGCTGAGCAACTTGGTTCATAGCATCTTTCTGCCTTAGGACTTTCTGGTCCCTGAACACTAGCTCTGTAGTACAAAACTATTGACAGCTTTATTCTGGGAGAAAAAAATTGTGTGAAAAGTAAAGGTGTTTAAATCAAAATAAAAATATCAGTAGAAATCTGAGATACTTTTAAGTCTATTAGAGACTTTCTAAATTTATAAAATGTTTGCAAAAAAAAAAAACAAACCAGAAACTTTCTAAAATGTCACACAATTTCTTTTCAAAATTGGCTCTTTGTTATATTTCTGCTTGATAAACATCCAATCGAAGTAAAACTGAGGGAGCAGGCATAAACACTTTGAAGAGTATTCTCTCTCACTGGCTGAGGTATCCATATAAATTATGGGCATAACACAAATATGGAGAAAAAAAAATGTATGTGCATTAAAAATAACAGCAAAGGAAGGATTAAAATCCATGGAACTAATTTCATTACGTCATGAAAGCCCTGCCTAAACAGAAAAGGCAAATAGAATATGCACCTCTGAAGCTTAATTTGAAGTGTCCTTCCCAGGACTGTGAATTTTATGTCACTTACCAGCTCCAAATAGCTTTCATGCTCAAACATCTGGTGTTTGTAAGCAAGACAGAAAACACTATGAGCTGCACTACAATAGCCCATGAGTAGATACACACAGAAAATACAGTATTTCTTAAAAGGGGAAAACACACTTCAGAAGAAATCCCTTTGAGTTGGGTTGACTTTGGGATATGTAATTTACTTACCACAGTTACAGCATCGTTCAGAAGTGATTCTCCAAAAACAATGATGAATAGAACTTCATTGACGTGGACTTCTTCAAACACCGCCAGAACAGCTACAGGATCCACAGCAGCAATTAAACTGCCAAAGAGGAGGAAGTCCAGCAGCCCAGAGTGTAGCTGACCTTCAAAAACAAAGCAAACAAATTATAAGCAGAATCATCTCTGTATAATCAATAGTAATGACAAACTGGGATATTATAGATCATGCCAAGTACAGGAAAATAGAGATGTCAAGGTATCCAACTGGAAAGCATGTTACAGTGACTACTTTAAAAGTTCTGCTCTGAGTCATGTTGTATCCTACAATTTTGTTGGATTCAGCATTGACCCACGTGCATCAAAGTTGTTTCTGGGAGCAGGACCAGTACTGACCTGTCCTTGTGGCAAGTCAGTTTCAGATCTAAACTGGCTTTCTATTTCTGTGTGGCATGGTTTGTCTAACTTAACTAAATTATCCCAGGATAACTGAGACTCACAAGATGTTAAGAGGACCATACCAGCACTTCTGAAGTAAATGTTCTCAAAATATTTCATGTCACAGGTCAAATTTGACTTTTGGTCTCTAAGAACTGCTACAGTGATGTGTAACAGCACTCAGTACAGTTGAACACCAACTGTGGCCTCCTTACCCACTGATAGTTGTGGTTAAGCCACTTGTTCCCAAATTAGAATTCATGAGGCTGTTAAATTGTCTGCAAATGGACCATAAAAATAGATGAAGGACCAAAATGTACCTCAACATGTTTGTGTTGTAGCCCCTTAGGAATTTTGGCAATGATTTCAAAAGTTTTGAAACTACAAAACTCTGTTGACAGTGTAACCCAGTATATTTTTTTTAACTTTCTCTTAGTTATTAAGGTTATTTTGTTCAGTTCTGCAAACAGAACAAGACAAGAATTCACTGTCATTTTAAAAGTAGCAGAAAAGGCAGAGCCACAAAAATCATTCAGCTTCCTAAATACCTTGCAAAATCTACCCTCTTCATGAAATCAAGAGTGGTAACCCAGTCATTTTTTCTGGGGAAAAGATTTCCGAACAGTAACATTCCCTTTGTGTTCATTAATGGATGGAAGAGGAAGCAAGGTTCTATAAGAAGTGATGGTGCCAAAAATTATATGAAGAAGAGCAAAGAAAGAACAGGTTGAGAATTCATTCATTAAAACACAATGCAGAGACCCATGCCCAAAAATATCAGGCATGATTTCTACAAGTAAATATGAAATTCATCTAATGAAGTGGTTTTGAAGCATGAGTCAGACAATCACAGTCAGTAGGTGTAGCCACAAGACCAGTAGTGCCTGTAAGGCACCTCCAGAACAACATGGCCATCCCTCTAGAAAGAACTCTGAAAGGTAATTTTTCAAATTAAAAATGGTTTGTGCTTAGCATGTAATTGATACATAAACCAGACCCTAAATAGTTTTGGTACAAAATAGCATAGGCTTATTTACTCAAGATTTACTTTAGTCAGAGAAATGAGTAGACAATACCCTGTTATATGTGACAATGCACAATACTCTGGGGGAGCCGCAGATGTATAGATTCTCTTAGCTGCTATCTGCTAGTCAGAATATCTACAAGGTTTCATACAGTTTGTAGGGATCTTGGAATGGCCTTGAAATTCATAGCTTGCACAGATGTATAACTCCCTTATTTTTTCAAGAAGATAAATAGTCTTGTTCACACTTGGACATAATTGGGCTGTGAACAAGGACTGAGCAGTTTTAATGTGCAAGTGGAATTGAGGCAGTGACCTTAAGTCTGTGCTAAAAATTCTGAGAACAGCCTTGAACCTAAATCTGAGCAATGGTTCCACCAAAGGCTGTCCTTCTCAGGCAGGCTAAGGAAGGAACAAGCCCAATGACAATTACCATCAAATACCAGGGTATAATAGAACGTAAGGTTTGAAAATAAATTGGCTCACTGAGATTGCTTATCTTTTTTATGTGTTACCAATTATAATCATTGGTACATTCTTTGAAGACTTGCAAATCTAGTAAGCAAATATTTATGGGGAGATTAGGACACATCTATAGTTTCTACAAAGCACTGTCAAGAGGCCTAGAGTTTCTAAATCAGACTTTCATTTAGAGTAACAACAGCAGTTATTTTCAATTCGTACACGACCATGGATTCCTCCAGCTCATCGATGACACATGACCAAGATAAGCTCACTGGGCCCAATTTAAGACTTTTAGGCACACTCAGCATTTGCAGCTATGACCTAGATTGTACAGGAAGAACTGTTCCAAGCATTAGTCACCATCACAATACTGAAAGTGTTAGTTCTCCAGCAGACGGTGAGCAGTTCACTGCAATCAGCCTGGAAGATCTAGTATTACATAATTCTTCCTATTCTGTAGAAGTAGACTGATATGACTGATGGTTAACAGTTTTAATGTGGTAATCTTTTTATTTCAGTTCTTAAGAAGGATTTCTTTATCACCTTCTCCATCTTCCTTCTGCAAATTGTAATATCTGCAAGGGTATTGAATGCCAATGAAGAGATGGTTTTATGTTTATTTATGTTGGAAATCCATGCAATCCAGTTTGGATTATGCACTCCAGTATTGATGGACAGTACTACAGGCCCATTGAATGGCAAAGCTAGAAGTCAGTTGGTTTTAGTTCATCTTAGTCTGTAGTGGATTTACATTTCTACATTTTAATGATACTACTTTTAGTATTATTGACTTAAATCTCAGAACAAGTGGGATAGAAACAAAAATATGCCGTAGAATTTCAACCAGAAGGTACTATGAACTCTTCTAAAAGTTTAGTAACTCAGCATTCTCCTATCTTCAGCAAGTAACAACAGCAAGGTTTTTCACAAAGTGTCGTGGTTAGATCTTGCTGACCTCTTGGAGGTCAACACAATAGATTTAGTGGATTAGTTAAGTCTGTGTCATGTAGATATTTTAGACTCCTACTCAGCTTTGCTGGAGAATGACATAGTTTGAATCAGGGACAGCCTTGTCTGGCCTTTTTCATAGCTGAAATTAGAACTCTAGTAGGTCTTCATGGCAAAGACAGGTCCCCATAGTACACCAATAATGCTCTTTCTAAACATTAAGGTTCACTAGACATGTCAGTTTATTGTTCACCTTTATTAACATCCCTATATTTCTCTTGTAGAGCTTTGGCTGTGACCTGTGGTAGGGGCTCATTCTTCCGTGTAGCTGTAAACTCAGAGTTCTAGCATACACTGTCACTAAAAGATTTGCATACTGATGAAGCAGAACATGTAATCATCAAATCCAGATTTTGCAGTTAGTTAAGAGTTGTTTACAGATGGGAAGGAGAAGAATAATTTAGATGAATTTTTCATCTAAAATGAAATTCTTTTGGAAAACAGTCAACTTTTCCATTTCACATGTTGTAAGAAAATCAATCCTTTCCCTTTAATGACTTACAGCAACATATTTTTTAAGTAATTATCATATATTACATTTCCCAGAACAGGATTTTAAGAAAGCATTTTTGTCATATTTTTTAAATTGTTCCTAGCATCTTGGATATTTAAATGAAGAAATCCTTTTCCAGTCTGCAGTAGCAATATTCCTGTCATATATTTTCTTCCTGAAAACCTGATTTTAATTATAAATGCGGTATTGTGGATGAAATATTTTGCTTAAAGCAAAATAAACCTCTTATCTACCTAAAAAGTCAAAGATTTTTGCATCTGAGCTGTCACCTTTGTATATTCTAAAGAAAATATTGTTGCTTCTAAAATAGGAGCTATAACAAGGTAAATATCTAAAATGTATCTATCTATCATGGCTGTCTATATTACAAAAGCCTGCAATCACATGAGTCTTACATGGAAGTCTGTAGAGATCAAGTACTGTTGTTCTGTGCCTCTCCCAACAGCCCTGTGTCCTTACATTGCAGTGTAACTAAGACAAAGTGTGTCTTAGAATCATAGAATGCTTCGTGCTGGAAGGGACTTTTTACACCCTCCAGTTCCACCACCTGGGACACCTTCCACTAGGCCAGGTTGCTCAGAGCCCTGTCCAGCCCAGCCTTGAACACTGCCAGGGATGGGACACCCACAGTTTCTCTGGGAACAGCACAATCAATAGGAAACCCTTACTTTTTCGATTTCTAGTCTAGGAAATTGTATGTCAGCCACCCTTTCAAGCCTCTTTGGACTGCTCCCTTTAAAATGTCTCAGTTTTTTGTTGGTTTTTTTTTTTTTTGTAAGACATCTGCTACTTCATTCTGTAAAACTTCTAGATCTCCAGTTACAATTTCCAGACTCAGAAAATGCAAAAGTGATATGTGGATGGGTCATGCATATATACCCACTCAGTAGCCACATAATATTGGATAACACTTATTATAAATGACACTTAATTGCATTCATAACATTAAATATAGTAATAACATTTATTATGAAATAACACTAAATATAATATGTAATACTAAAGCTAACTTCAGGAAGACACTTCCATTTCAGAGCAACTTTTTAAAGTTTTTATTACAGCAGAAAGAAACAAGCCCTTTAGTGTGTTTTTTTCTCCAGATGTCCATTAGTAGAAAGAATCCTGAGCTTTATCCTGAGAGTGTATGCACACATTTAGAACAGGAGAATAGAAGAGACACGGATTCAAGTAGCTTTTATACTTTCCTTAGGGAAGATTTTTCAGGTCATTCTTAAATTTGATAAAGATATTACAAACTGCTCCCATTAAAATTGAATTTTTCTTCTGGAAAGAGTTGTTAAATTGTAACTTATCACCCATCTAACAGTATATATAGTGACATTCATAATTGTGTCTTCGCAGATCAAACTTACCCATTATTCCTGTCAGATAGACACCATAGAGAGATAAACCAGTTGTGGCAGCATTCCAGACTGTCCCAATGACAGCATACAAAAGGATGGAGCCAAGATTTCCGAAGAACAATCTATTTGGCATAAAATATCCAGCGTCCAAAACAATGGGGGGCAGCAAATAGAAGAAAAATACAGTTGGTGTCAGGGAGAAGGAGGCAATGTGATCTGCTGCCCATACAATGCCACCGAGGAAAAGACCAAGGACAATCAGCAGAGCACTTTCTGGAACCACCCGAGTGACTTTGTGGGACAAGTGGAAAACTGCAAGGAAATATGAAAACAGTGAGTCAGAAATTAAATGGAGAAATAATTTGAGCAACAACTGTTGCTAGGTGGCAATTTTGATTCCACACAAGCATTTTGCTTTCATTGCGATTAGACCCAAAAGTGTGCATGGAATGCTTGGGATACAGACATAGAATAAAAAAAACCAGTTGATCTTCAGATTTTATCCAGCTTATTTTAACTTATATGAAGCCAATATTCCATGACATTTATATCCTTCATTGGATTATCTTCTCTTACAACAAGATCTGTTTAGGGAAAGCTGATGTTCTGTGCAAAGCAGTAAATGCAAGGCTGAAAAGCAGTGGGAAAGTCCTGGAAATGTATTACATTATGGTTTATTACTATATGTAAAATACACATCCAGCCTTCTAATGATTGTCTTAAAAAATTATCAGTTTATTAACAGGCTCATTGGATGATGTGATAGGGATGCTGAAAGAGGAACTAGTTTCAAGGCAACTCCTTCAAATTTCATATTTACTTATTTAAATTTATAAAGAATATTCTGATAATGTAGCCTGCAGAATGAAGAATGGGAGATCCCTTTTGATCCTTTTCTTCAAGATGTCCCTAATATGGATTTCTCATAACTCAGAGCCTTTCTGAAGGAATGGTGACTTTGGCAGTTCCTTCAAATACGTATTTGTGGAAAATGGTTATGCAACAGGCTGCTTTCTTTTTTAAAGGTGTCATAAAATTTGTATGTTACAATAGTCTGTAAAATCTGTTAATCAAGACAAACAGTATATGGTATCTATCACAGTAAAACATGTAATGATATGGTGTGGTCAAACTGTTAAACTAGCCAGTAATTAAAAGGAGGGAAAATTACTGAGTGCCATGAGGAAATCTAAAGAGACAGAGAGATGGCACAACCAAACAGAGAAAACAGACTGTTCAAGATGACAGAAACATAACTAGGACTGCAAATACATATGGCAACATATATTTATAGTGCATTTGTTAGGGGTCAGATAAAAGAAAATAAAAAAGCAGAGAGAAGAACAGAGAGAAGTCAAGTCTACAAAGAGGGATGGAACATAAAATAGGAAATAGAGGCTGAAGTGTTTGATAGTAAGTAAGGACAGGTGGTTTAATTGACATTCTTGGGATTTCTGTAAGCTTGTCCTTCAGTTTATCTTAAGTAATGATAGGTCCCAGATGGCCTGAACCCTGGTACTTTGTGAAACTGACCCATTAAATGTGGTTTTACTTATATAGCTTTGTGTTGAAAATGTGAGTTACAGTTCAGGAAGAAAATTTCCATAAAAACCACCAAGCTTCTCCTGGTTTTGAACATCATCTGTGTTGAAGCTGTTACAATGCTAACGCAATTTAGCTCAGAACTAGCTTGGACAAGAAAGAGCACATCATTATTCCAGACTCTTAAGTCACAGTGGAAGAATCCTGTGACCATGCAGAGATCTTAGACCAGGTTACTTTACTGAAAGACTATTGTTTTTCTTCCCATCCAAGTATTTGTCCTTGTCAAACATTTACTAGTTACCTTTTAGAGTGTTTTAAGGTCCCCACTCCTGAACTGTCGGCTTTTGCCTTGGCTGCATCTGCACAGGCACCATCCATCATTACAGCAGCCCCACAATAATGCGGTTCCTTAAGCTATAGAACCTTCATGGTCTCATCAGAACAGAAAACATGAAAGGAAAAGTGACCACAGCCTCCCTATGCTAATAACGAGCGTGACTGTAGAAGTTCCTGACTGTTTGCAGAAAAGACTTGAAAACATTTTAGAACACAGCTAAAAAGTAGGATTAATACAAAAGCAATCGGACATGAAAGCGAACTGAATTCAGTGAAGCTGACTATACCATGCCAGCTTTCTATGTCATCAGTGTCATGTAATCAAGAAATTAATAACACTTCACAGAAACAAACACTCTGTTTTTTCTGTTAGTTTCCTCTCTTTGTTATAAAATCCCTTGGGCTTGCATTAAAAAAAGAAGAAGAGAGAGGAAATTAAATGAAGAAAAATAAACTAGCTACTACTCCATGTGTACAAATTGTGGCATTTAGCTTCTCAAAAGTCTTTCCTACTAGTCATTCTTGATTCCTTGAATTTCCAGCCAGTGAATTATCAACTAATTTATCACAGAAAAGGGGATTATCTCCTTATCCCTGAAAATGAATGTTGCTGAGCTAGTCTTACTAACCAAAGTCTGTTTTTCCTACTCTTACATTAGCAGATAAGGCATGACAACAAGAAGTTAAAGTTAAAAATTTTAAATGAACCTGTGAAGACATTTCAAAACCAGGTATTTAGAAAAAAAAAAAACAATGCCCAGCTAAAATTTCATATTCTGTAGAATTCCCCCCTTTGCAACCAAAACCAGCTTTGAATGCTGGGAAGTCAATCTGATTTTCGTTATAACATTGTCTCCTCCTAAAAGTCACATTTTCCCAGTGAATCAGCTCTGTCTTATCTGTCTATCTCTGTCCTCTTTAACTCCAACCCACTGGTTATCTGTACCAGATTTTAATATTATCAGCAATAAATTCTTCTACTCTGTTAGTTTAAGGATGCAGGCCATGGACAGGAAAGTTATTGCATGAATGGAGCTTCTTTTGGAAAACCTCTTAATTTTTGTATTTGGCCCAACCCAAGCACAATCTGAAAACCTGACTGTATTTGCTTTAAGAGAACTTCCTGGCTAACTCTTCAGGTAGATAGTATGCTATATGATTAACAGAAATATGTCTACAAGCACAGAAATGTGTAAAAGGAAAATACCACAACTGACGAAATTCAGTAAAATAGCTTTGGACTGAGATGCAATTGGAACTTAGATTAATGTTTGAACTCATATTTGCACCTACAGAGATTTCTTTTTTTCTGGCTATGTGTATAAAACTTATTTGATCAAGATCGTACATTATGAGTAGTTATTACATTTGTGGAATTTGATAGAGGTAGTTTAATTCCAAATTCACCCCTTAATGTTTATTTTTGTAATTCATTATTCTGAAGCAATGTCTCCAATATATTCTGGGAGTATTACTAGCTCACATAATGATAACACTTCCATTTCATAAAGTTTGCCTTTACTTGTCTAAAAGAGATCCAAACACTATCCCACAAAATGAATTGTATCCCCATGACAAAGTCGAACTGGAAGCTTTAATTACACCTAAATGTTTAGCATGACGAGGTGTTTCACCTGACTGAGGAGCAAAATGCAATCCAGCAAGGTTTGTAAACTCTCAATGGATGAGGAGTTCAGTTTGATTCTGATGTGAAAGAAATTTCAGCTATGAGGAAGGAGGATAGCATGCTGCTCAGATAAATTACTCTGTGATGGACCCAGAAATTAAATTGTCTACTTTCACTGCTGTTAATAAGGAAAAGTACATTAATACATTTTAATGAGGAGAGGGGAAGGGTAAAGGAAGAACACCTATAGACAATTCACAGCATAAAAGAAATAACTGTGCACAGGGCAATTTTGTGATCTATAAATTTTAACATTCAACATTTTAACATTTAGCATTTGGAATTCTTCTACCCAAGTCTAGATACAATATTAAAGAAAAAGTTAAACATATGCCTCTCTTCCATTACATGCTAAACATGGAAACAATCATCAGAGCCATCAACCTGGTTTGAGAGCAGGTTGGACTGGCTGCTGGCTAAACTGTGTTTAAATTCAAGCTGAGCATCACCAAATTAAAAGCTTTCTACAGAATTAAGAAACAGTTGCACAGTATAAACATCCTGTGATTTTTTTCAGATGTTTCCTTTGAGATCCAGGAAAAGGGACTGTGGTATTTAAGCTATCTGATGAGAAAGACAAAACAAATTAGCAATCTATGATGTGGTGGCTGGAACCACTTTCTTTTGACTCAAAGAATTAAACATACTTTAAGAAGTAAGTTGGGATTTATGGCCTTTTATAAATACAGTAACTTAGATTAAATCCTTTGGTGGAATTTACAGCATTCAGTGAATTATCTCTTGCTTTCTAAGGCCATCTGTGACTGCTTTGGAAGATGTGATTCAACAGAATAAGCTTTTTGTCACTCATAGAAATGAAGACAGAAAGACTGGTTCAAAGAAAGAAAAAAGAATTTAAAAATAATAAAATAGAGATATTTTACAATTAATTTTCAAGTTGTAATATTTGTAGACAACTAAAAAAAATTTCTGAAGTAGGGCTTTCTTTTTTTTTAAATTATCTCTAACAAAACCTATTTTTAATCAATACTGGTTTTTCCTTATCAAAGGAAATATTTTAATACCTTAGATCTAGATTTTTTGCAGGATTTCCAGATGAAACTAACAATTCAAGATAGATTTACAATATTTTGAAAATACAGCACTGTAAAATCAAAAATCTTAAACTACCTATTTAAAATACTTCTAAATTTCAGGATTTATGCAGTCATTTCAACACTATTTCAAATTAATCACTAAATTTCCATTAACTGTGATAGTGTAAAATCAAGTCTCTGAAAACAGTGATATTATTTTTGCAGCTAGTATTACTGTTCCAGTCAAGCACAAAACCTACTGCACGTGCACAGTCCACGTGTCATCCAGAGAAATCAAGAATTGACCTATAATAATGATGGTAATTCTCTGCTGATTTTTTTCCATGTATTTTTGGATAAAATCCAAAGACTCATAAAATAATTTAGAAAATTAAAATATGATCAGCCTTATAATTTCCATCGTTTCCGTGAAAACATAGATACGAATCTACAAACATTTCTAAGCTCCTCCTATCAGGGTTAGTGGCAGGCGTGAGGTCTCCCATGTGCATTTTCACTAGTGGTTCAAATATGCACTGACACTACCTTTTCAGTCTCTTTTCCAGTTCTGACTTTTTAATTTTTGCTTATAAAGTTGAAGTTATCATGCTTCATCAAGCCATGGGTGCTTCTAATTGGAGCTCCAAGACTTGAATCTCTGTAGCTGGTGGAAACCCTTGCCATTGACCAAAGTGAGAGCAAAACAC